TGTCATATACAAAACAGTCTCCAAATTACTAAAACGTCTTTCAAAGTTCCAAAAAAGCGAATCAGTCTGGTAAAGAAATCCATGAAAAATTTCCCAAATCCACGAGAATTCGTATTGTAATAAATACGGATGAACTTTATAATTCCTCTAAATTCCTACATGGCGCCGTTTCATACAATTGCAAGTCAAAGTAACCATATGCAAACATATTATTCAAATCATAAAAAAGATAGCAAAGTTAAATATTGGTTATTGTTCAATTAAATTTAGAATAGAGTCACAGGTACATAGTAGGCCTAAGGCAGAATATTGAAAACGAAAAATATAGATGCGGCAATAAATACATGCGGCAAACGCCTCGACCGAAACTTCCTTTGAACGTTTACAAACAAGCAAAATTCATGCATTTGATATTATATATCGCCCGACATAATATATTTATCCTTGCCCATGAGAAAACTGATTATTTAAAAAAAAACAATACAAGTAAAAAGTAAAGATCGTAACCATCCATCACCCCCGAATTTAATGCGAAACACGTGAGTCCCTCCGGGGTCTAATTTCATGACATCTGTTTTGTCCGGGGGGCGAAATCTTTTATGGATAAATGGATGATTCGAGCTATAGACTAAATTTTGATCCAGACAGGAAGAACAAAATTCATCACTACAGCTAGAAAGAACATCTTAAAGTTAGTGAAATTGCACAGTACGTTTGGTCGCGAAATGTTGTAAAATGCGGAAAATATAGCCCTGCAAATTTCACAAATTTTGTATGCTTTTGTATTACGTGCAGAAATTTGCACCACTAGTTTTGAGCCTATTTTAGGATGCTCTTTCTACCTGTGGTGATGGATTTCGTTCTTCTTGCCCAGATCAAAATTTCGTCTATAAGCTGGAATCATCCATTGAAATTGCAACTAGCGCAGCTTCGCAATTAAAGCTTTATTTTTCAAAGCCAGAGTCATAACCGAAAAATATTAGCCTAAAATTTAGCCCAAGGTTGATTACGATTACGATTTAGCTATAATTAGTCATGAGGTTATTTTCATAATTAAAGCCTACGTTGTTGTTTATATTTTAAAGAGAGACTTTACTCCCAACACAAAAAATAATGCAGGAAAATGTGAAACGTGCATGTATGCATGATTATCAGTTTTATGCAATGTTCTTTACGCTTCGACCAATCAACGATGGTATGCATTTGTTCCACGACTTAGGTGATTTTTAAGGATTTGACCTTCGGACTGAGTTTGGTTCTTTATCGATTCGTTTTTCAAGAGCAACGTGTTTTAACTCTTTTTCTGATCCGGCGTGAGGTTACAAAATTGTTGGCGTAATGGCGTGAGATAACTCGAAAAGAAGTGATTAGTTTGTGCCTGATTTAATGGCCACATGTAAATTGACAGTATAACTACACGAATCACCATATTAGCTATTTTCAATACTTGGATTTAAGTCACCAAACATGAAAAGTCTCCGATGTATTGGCGTAAAGGATCATACATGTTGGCTATCTTCGGCGTAGAGTTTACATGGAATGCATCCTGGGACAGTGCCTTTTTTAAGGAATTTTCACTGGGGGGGCAAAACAGGAAAAAAAGGCAGAACGAAAAATATGAGCCGTCGAGGTTTGGCGAACGCGCGAGTCTGAAGAGAGATTTTGTAAAATTTAATTTATTAACTTCACCTAAATAAACAATAACTTCAACTTTTTGTAGCTATAATCGTACAGCTATAACCAGTGGCGTAGCCAGACCTTAATTTTTTTGGGGGGGGAGGGCGAACCTCACGCCGAAGGCGTGAGACCGTCTAGGAGCGTCCGGGGGCATGCACCCCCGGGGAAAATTTTGAAATCTAGGGTCCCTGAATTGCGATTTCAAGCATTTTGGGAGTGAAATTCCGAAGAGTTCGAAGATTATAAAGTACATCGAAGACATGAATTTTTCCAGACATTTCTACTCGGAATTAAATAAAGTGGAAAAGTCACCTTGAAAAATAGGAGGAGGGGTCAGTGTCACCTTGGGGGGGGGGGCAGAAATGGCTTTACTGGAGGGGCAAATTTTTTCCCTGGGGGGGCAATTGCCCCCCAGATATATAGTTAAAAAAGGCACTGTCCTGGGATTGGGAAGCTGCGCTAGTTGCATTATTTTTTTCGCCAATTTCAATGGATGATTCCAGCTATAGACGAAATTTTGATCTGGGCAAGAAGAACGAAATCCATCACCACAGGTAGAAAGAGCATCCTAAAATGAGCTCAAATATGGTGCAAATTTCTGCACGTAATACAAAAGCATTTACAACATTTCGCGACCAAACGTACTGTGCAATTTCACTAACTTTAAGATGCTCTTTCTAGCTGATGGATTTTGTTCTTCCTATCCGGATCAAAATTTAGTCTATAGCCGGACAAAACAGATGTCATGAAATTAGACCCCGGAATAAAAATTCTGGGACTCAAAAAATTCTGCGACCCGCGAAAAACCCCGCGACCCGCGAAAAAAAACCGTGATCCGCGAAAAATACCCGCGACCCGCGAAAATTATCCGCGACCCGCGAACAAAACCCGCGACCCGCGATAATTAGATTATCTCAATTTGGAAGGTAAATTCTGATTGGTCGACGTAGCGAAATTCAGTTTGGTGGGCGTAAGAACTACAACGTCTGTGAGCAGGCTTGTAGTTAATACGCCACGGCAACCCACTTCGTTATAGTGTAAACACAATATAGTCTCAATACTAGAAACGTAGTAAATTTTTAACCGCGGAGTGTTAGCCGTAGCGTCATAGTGTAAACGCGGCCTTCATGAGAATGTCTCCGGCTTATTCCGGGAAACTGGTCGGGCTACAAACTCTCCGAAAATGTTTTCCTCATCGAGGGCAACGTTACCTGACAGGCATTTTGCATTCGTTCCTTTATAAGCAGTTACGCCTCGGAATCACTCCGCTATAGTGTAAACAAAATACTCAAAAGAACGTATTGCATTTTTACCGGAATGCTATATCATAGCATTGTAGTGTAAGCGAAATACTGTGTTTACAGACGCAAATTTGGATCTGTCAATTGTGAAAATTCCATAATTATTAGTTGAAAATTTTGGGAGGGAACAGAAGCTGCATCCCCTCATCTGGACCCCTTTCGGGACCACTTTTGAAAACTAAAAACAAAAACTTAACAAATAATTATATCATAAACTAGAAAATACATGCATGCAGAAACCCTCGCTTTGCTGACAAAACCATTGTATTTTCCCAACATGAAGTATCTAAAGTTGTTTTTATGATAACACGATAATTTTTTAAGAATATTCCATTGAACTATAAATAAACTGGAACGATAAGTTCGCCGCCATCTTTGAAGCCGGCCATGAGTGTTTTCTGCAGTAGCCCCAGTCCTTTTTTACAAAATGGATGCGAAAAATACCGCTTAAAAATCGTTATTATTTTCTCACTTTTACATCTTGCACGGCAATTATATTCATCCTAGAGCACACTTAGACAACACAACGTTTATCTAAGGCACATAAAATAAGCAAATATTGTTTAACTGCCGAAATATGAAACAAACAAAACGAAACTCGGCAAAAAACCGCGCGAAAATTTTCGGTTTTTTTGAGTTTTTAGACTTTCCAGAAAGAGTTCAGAGACAATTTTATACAATTTATGTAGAAAAATCTTAGATACGTACAGTTGTTAATGGAGTCCAAACATTCAGAAACGTACTTTAGTAAGTTAAAATTGGAAAATTAAACGAGACTTACCTGTAAGTTGAAGTTTGATTGGAATTCTATCACATGGCACATAGAGTCAGGAGATTACATGAGATAGCACGGCGCATGCGCGGGTTCATTCTTTAAAGCATTTTGCTGGGTTCATCAGTACAAATACACACAGTGATATTGATAATTCCAATACACCCAGTGATAAACCCAAAGTAGGGACATGGGCAATATAATATGTACATATATTATACATCTGATGATGCAGGGTGGGCATGTAATCTCCTGACCCTATGTGCCATGTGATAGAATTCCAATCAAACTTCAACTTACAGGTAAGTCTCGTTTAATTTTCCAATTCTATCACATGGCACCGAGTCAGGAGATCCCATGAGACTTTAAAGCCCTGATGTACCCAGCAATGACATATACCAAATTTAGGCATGAGACATGGTGAACAAAACCATATTATTATCAACTCAACATGTTGTAAGTACTGCCTCAGTCATAGTTATATCAGAGGCTACAGGCTTATTATAGTATTTTTGAAATGTACTGTCTGAGCTCCAACCTGCTGATTTTATCAATATGTCCAATGGTACACTTTGGTAAGCTTTCGATGTGGCAGCCGCTCCAGTACTGTGTGCCGAGTATACTGTGGTGTCAATCCCAGCATTATCAAGGACAATTTTAACCCATCTTGATATTGTGTCTCTTGACACAGGTTGATATGGTTTTTGATAGCTTACAAAAAGTTGCTTATTATCCCCACGTACACTTTTGGTTCTTTTTAGGTACTCTCTTAAAACTAAGATAGGACAAATATTTTTGTCAGGTGTGTACTGCTCAATCTTGAGGATCATAGTCCCTGATCCTGGCTTACTAGTCTTCATATGCTCCAGAACTTGAAACTCGCATGAGGTCTCGCTTAAGGTCATCTCACTGAGACTAAGACAGTGTATTGTTTGACCTCGCTGCCCTGTCACCAGTAACAATAACATAACTAACTTCAACGTCAAATTTTTTAGTGTCTGTTCTTCATTGGGTGTAAAAGTTCCCAGATACTTTAAAACCACAGAGACATCCCATATGGAATTGTACTTAGGTTTTGGTTTCCGCAGTTCAAATATACCCTTCATAAACCTGACAACTATATGATGGGATCCAAAAACCCTGACCATCTGGCAAACAATTTATGGTTGACAATGCTGAACGTGCAGTGTTTATAGTAGAGTAACTCAGTCCCTGTTGAAACAACATCCTCAAAAACGACAGAGCTTGGTTCATTGTTGGTGAATGACAAGCAATCGTCCTTTGACGACAAAAGTCCAACCACTTTTGGATGTAGGTGGAATATTGTTTCTTGGTACCTGTTCTCCAAGATGACATAATGATATCTGTAACTTCTTCTGAAAGGTCATCTGCCGCGAAGCGATTCCGGAGACAGGACAAACCATCAGGCGAAGGGTTTTGGCTAGTGGATGTGATATCAACTGAACTGGGTGCTGCAGGAGGTTTGTTGATGGTGCGAGGATCCATGGTTGATCGAACAGTAGCTGTAATAGTTGTGGAAACCAGGCCTGGGTCGGCCAGAAGGGAGCGATTAGTACTCCTGAGGCTTGGTCTTGTAGTATCTTTTGCAAGCAACAAGGAACTAAACTAAATGGTGGAAAGGCATAAAACATCTTAGTATCCCAGTTTAATGTAAAAGCATCAACTGCAATACACCCAGGATCTGGTCGCCATGCAACATATTGTGCAAGTTGGAAATTTACTCGGCTTGCAAACAAGTCAACTTCCAGGCTGGGAAATTTTGTTAAGATGTTCTGAAATGTTTGCTTATTTAACTTCCACTCATTCTTATCATGAAATACTCGAGACATTCTATCTGCCTCAACATTAACCTTGCCAGCTATATGAGTTGCAGAGATCCAAATGTTCCTTTCAATGCACCACTGCCAGATTTCAACTGCTAACTGGTTGAGAGGTCTAGATTGTGTCCCCCCCATTTTGTTAAGATAAGCAACTGCAGTTGTATTATCAAGCTGCAAATGAATGTGCCCATCTCTGTCATTGACACAGAGTGATTTCAAGGCAAAAAAGGCTGCCTTGAGTTCTAGCACATTGATGTGTGCCTGTTGTTCAATGGTACTCCATCTACCCCCTGTAGAGGTACCCTCTCGGACTGCCCCCCATCCTTGTGTAGAAGCATCAGATTGAATGATAGCAAATGGTTTACCATGAATAATCTTACGAGTGGAATTTGGTAGATTTGTAATCCACCATTCCAATTCATGCTTGCACCTATCAGTTAATGTCATTTTAGCACCATAGACCCCACAAGCTAATGTTACTGCTGCAGATTTAGCCATTTCTAGTTCTCGATAATGCAAAGGCCCATACTCCACTCCAGGGAAATTGGAGACTAATAGACCAATTACTTCTGCAACCTGTTGTATTGTAGTTGCAGCTTTAGCTAACAATAGTTTGCAAGCGGCCACTGTCTTGTCTATTTTCTCCTGTGTTGGGGACGTTGATTGAGTTAAGTATAAACCCAAGAAACACAAGAATTTGTGTTGGGACAGTGACGGACTTCTTGGGGTGAGGTATAAATCCCAACTCTGTCACAAGTGTTTTTGTGGCTGATATATTGCGAGAACATTCTGCAGGGGTGTCCCCTTGGAGGTAGGAGTCGTCAATGTACCCTGAACTCATATGGCCCATACTATGTAGGGTAGAATATACTGGTTTTAGTAATTTTGTAAATATACGTGGAGCACTCGAGAGTCCATTTGGAAGGCAGGTATACTGATAGAGGCGACCCAAAAATTCAAATTTTAGGAACTTTTGGTCTGCCGCATGCACTGGCACCATATAATAGGCATCAGTGAGATCAATAGAGGCCATATAACAATTTGGCTTCATCATTTTTACTGCTGCATCTAAAGTGTCCATTTTAAAATGGCGATGCTTCACAAATTCATTGAAAGACTTGAGGTTAAGTATCATACGATATGAGCCGTCTTTTTTAAGTCTGAGAAAGATTGATGAAATAAATTCACCTAGCTCATGTATGGAGGGAATAATAACCCCCTTGCTAAGAAGCTTATTAATCTCATTTCCAATAATTGCAGTTTCACTCATGTTAAAATGGCGAACTTTGGCTGCATATTGGCTGGGATGTTGATCATTAAATTCAATGTTAACACCCATGACATAGTTCAATATGACTGGGTCTGAGGTCAGTTGCTTCCATCGATCAACAAAATGTTTTAAACGTCCAGCAATTATTGACGTGTCAGACGAATCAACAGTATGCAATGAATATGAACTGACAGTTTCTCTTACCTTACTATGTACAGGTTGTGTTATTGAGGAATTTACTGCTTTTTTGCAGCTCCCCCTCTCTTTTTCTTTGCATTGTGAAACCGACCTCGGTCGAAAATATTTTCACGTCGTTGATATGGGTGGCCACGTCTGTATTGCCCAGTAGAAAACCGGCTATAAGTGCCAGAACTAGACTGTCTGCTTCGTGCAGTAGCAGTCTGGTATGGGCGAACTTTCTTCGCCAACTTGTTTGCATCCGCAATATCTTTGGTGTGTTTGGACAAGTCGCCAAACAAAAATTCCCCACTAGGAATTGGAACATTGCACAGTGCTTGAAAATCTGTGTGCATGTCCTGTTTCATAGCAATACGACGTGCTTGATTTATATCATGTTGACACTGGGTAGCCATTGCAATGCCATCTGTCAAAGATGTTATCAGCGTTGCATCAGGATTTCCGCTTTTGAGCACGTGGTCCGCCGCTTGCGTCATGGCAACTATGGCGCCAACGAGAGCATGCTGTGTTCGCTGTTGTTTGGCGTCGTTGGTCCGAACCCCAGCAGAGAGTTGGTTCCATATAAGTGGATTAACTCTGGGAGTTCTAAGATTTTCTAAGTTTTGGGGTCGGGGATACTTCCCAACTTTCTCTCGCCATTTCTCATCGGATAATTTGGTGCTCAAAAGGCCCTCGACTATGGAGGCAAGACGCTCTTGAACAGCGGCGCCCATCTGTTCACTAACATCGAGCTCTTGTGCTATAGTTGTAAGGAGGCTATCTGAACTTGTCGTCAAATCCTCGCTACTTTTCGTCTTGCTGGTTTCCTTAAGGAGACGTTCAACTTTAGTGTCAAGACATGTAGACACAGTTTCCGAGTCGCTACCTTGTCCTTCGTCAATGTCCAGGCGAAGCTCGTCGTCAAAAGTAGAGTCGTCAAATGTAGAGGTGAAATTATTTATTTCGCCACGCACGGATGCCATCTCGGAGGCCATGCTGGCTTTGAATTCTCTCATTTCTTCCATAAACTCGGCGAGAGGCGAGACTGTGTCGCCGACAGGGCCAGGACTAGAGCTGGCTTCTCTTTGCCTTCTCTCAACCGGTGCATTGCCATCGGCCATTTTATATGCACACTATGAACACAACTACGTTGGTTTCTGGTTGAGTAATCTTGGGCCAAAA